TGCGACTCTGGCGTGTAGGTGGTGCTGATGGTGCGCAGATTGAAGTTTTTCTTAACAACGTACGGTTAAACATTTGCCATTTGATCTTTCCAGTGTTATTATTGCTATCAGTTGAAGTTATGAGTTATTTTTATTGTAATTGACATGTTTTTTTTTTCGATAATTTGAATGAAATGAGACGCTTCAAAATATAGAAAAATTCCTTTAGAAAAATCTTTTCTCAAACATTCTTGTCAAAATCAATTTTCGCATTTGGCCTGATATAAACTTTTTTGGCAGACACTTTACTTTACTTATTTTTCGGAAAAACGTAAGTTTTAGAATCTTTATTAGAAACCGTATTAGAATCACAAATGAGAGCTTTAACGTTTCAAATTGAGATTGGCACTTAAAGGTATCAGTGAACTTATCCAATGCAGTGTTAGAAAGACTAAAACAGATGTTTAATCATTTCAGAATCGGAGCAGTGAATATTGTGCACCACTGACATCGTTTGATTGGAATGACATAGATGTTAGCCTAATTGGGACTTCAAGTATCGACACAACGTGTACCATTTGGCAAGTGGAGGTTAATTTCTATGAATTTAAGCTTAAAGTTCAATTGTAATTATCATGAAAAGCTAATGGATAGAAATACAAAGGAAAGGTAGAAGAAGTTAGTATGTTTTCTGCCTTTTAGACCGGTCAAGCAGTTAGCGTTGCACGATCAACGGAAGGTACTGTAAAGACACAACTGATTGCTCATGATAAAGAAGTATTTGATATTGCTTTTACAAGAATGGCGAGCGGTCGCGAAATATTTGCTAGTGTTGGCATGTTTTTTTAGTTATTTTACTCATATTATTTTCTCTTCCTTACAGATTTTTTTGGTAGAATAGTAGTACAAGTTTTTGGTGAGGCATATATATATATATATATAAATGATTCGAGAGAGTTTATTTTTTTGTTTTCGTATTCATGCTGGAGCAACTCTCCGTAAGTCAGCAATGGATTTTCAAGAATATGTTAACATATCAAATATAGACAGAAGATCATACTAATTAATGTTCTGTATTCAACACTATCAGATTTTCAGGAGCCGATGGAAGCCTAAGAATGTTTGATTTACGCCATCTTGAGCATTCAACAATAATGTTCGAAGAACCATCACATGCTCCATTGCTACGCTTGGAATGTAATAAGCAAGACTGCAATTATATCGCTACTTTTGTTCAAGATTCTGCAGAGGTTTTTTTTTTTATTCATTTTTCATGTGACATTTTTCTTGTAACTGCCGGTATCATTTATTTATAGATATTTTATGTAATTTACTCTGTTTATAGTGGATTTAATTAATTTGCTACATATTAATGTATTAGCAGAGTTAGCATTTCGGTGGCATCAGTGGTTAAAAGTAGCAGTCATATTATGGTGGAATCCATTTACTCTGAATTGACTGAACATGTATTTAGTTTAAATTGATTTTTAAGGTGATAATTCTCGATGTACGCATACCTTGTACACCTGTCGCAAAACTAGACAATCATCGTGGACGGGTAAATGGCGTGGCCTGGGCACCACATTCTTCATGTCATATTTGTACAGCAGGTGAACTATTCTAAATATTGAGGACATGAATATGTGTCCTTCTTTGTTATTCATTTCTTGCTTTTGTTAACTTTGATTCAGGTGGTGATAGTCAGGCATTAATTTGGGATATTCATACAATGCCTCGGCCCGTTGACGATCCTATTTTGGCTTATCAAGCTGGTGGTGAGGTAAAGCATTTTTGAAATGAAATTTAATTGCATACATGTTCTGCAAATTGCCCACTGATATTAAAAGAATATCCATCTCAAAAAAAAATATCTTAAGGTCAAGTAATTTATATTAGATTTATAACATATATTTTTAATTGACCTTTTTTTAAGGCCTAGTCTTCTAGATGTTTAAAAAGTCGAAATATTTTTAGATTAATCAGGTGCATTGGGCGACTGCCTTTCCAGATTGGATATCAATTTGTTATAAAAATATGCTAGAAATATTGCGAGTGTAAATAGCTCTTGTTATACGGTGATATAACTATTTCTGTGTAATTATTTTTTTAATCGATAAATTTTCTTCTAAGGTATGAAATCGACACTATTTTTTTAGGCTACCATGCACTTTACAATTCCTTTCTAGTCGAATATATGAGCATCTTAGAAGATACTTGTAATAAAATGTAATACATTTTCATTTCTCATTGATTAACTGTTGGTTATTTAAATTTAATTCCTCGGATTGGCGAAATTTTTTAAGGCTTTAATACTAGTGACAAAATTTTGATTCAAATTGAACAATTCGGTGAAGCAATTATATCAGAGTATTTGTCCCGAATTGTTGTAACGAGGATGTTTGCTTTGTTGGACAATGCATACTGTTTGAATTTTTTAAATTGTTTTTCAATTATGGGTTATATTTGATATAAATGTTTTTCCTTCGTCGCATTTCAGTCTAAAATAAACACTACTAAAATATATAATAATTACAAAACGGCAAAAATTAAATGAAAAGAAGAAAACATTTCAAATTTGTTTTCTGTATAAGCTCCTCAGTGTAAAATATAAACCTGTAGCAATTTGAATTTAAATTGTTTTGTTTCAGGTGGACAGAATACATAGTCAAATGCAAGTCGATCATTTTGAACTAATTGTTCAGTAAATTTGTCCATTTTCTGCAAAAGAATACAATAGGAATTTTTCACAAACATTGCTTACTTTAAAAATATTATATATTTTTAGCTGGTACTTCAGTAGAGATATTATATCAGGGGACAGGTTATTTATTAATAACTCCTAATGATATGCTTAAATCTCTTATCAAACCTGATGTGTTATGATATTATCATCACCTTAACGGTAACTGCGATATCGCATTTCTGTTTTGGTGGTAAGATGCCGCACGGCGGAGTTGCAAAAACGCGTGGTATTGCGTTACTTTTAATGGCGTATGCAATATGTTTCGTTGACGTATTACGAATACGTATGAAATATGTTAGATTTTCGAAATCATATGGAGCATTAAAAACCTGCAAATTATCAGGTTTATAGCATTTAACGAAGATTAGAACTTTTTTTTTGATTTATGAGATCTAAATTTCAAAAATTTTTTTCGAAATCATTCAATTTAACATTTCCAAAATGTTCGTAAGGGAATGGATTTTTTGAGCTGAAAAATTGAAAATAATAGAAAATTTATTAGTCAAATTAATTTAAACCAACTAAATACTTCGTTGGCTCAAATGATAAATCATGCGGGCTATAATTTATGCTTAAGCTCTCCGCACTTTTCATCTCCTGATCTTGAATTCTGAACTCGGAATCGAATAACATTGGATTTTTGTCTTCTGGAATTGAAAAAAAACGACTAAATTTTGAGTTAAATTTCATCATTGTGTCTTATCTTTAGTAATGATTTTCTTTCCAATGAATACTAAATTTAAATTCAAAAAAAAAAAATAGTGAATACCACTGTCATACGAATGAGAGTAAGTGCTTTGTACTGCTTGAGATGTTGCGTCGTCTAACTTCGTCGTCTGAAAAGGCATCTAAATTAGAACTTTACCTATCATCTATCATACATGCGTGACCAGTAATTAAGTAATTAAGTACATGTAATTTTCAAGCGGTTATGAAAATATTGTTAAGAATGGTTTCTTGATAATTCATTCAAATCACTGATCAATCCGAAGATTATTTAAATCACTTATTTCTTTTAATAAATGTTCATATTTAAATGTCTTAATTGATAACCTATTTTTAGCATTAAATATTTTCATGAAGCTTTTTAGGATACGAATGCAATGCATGAGCTGCCAAAATGATTTATGAAATTTTGGCTAAATGGCGTTGTACTGATTGCTAAAGGTCGAAGTTTCGAATTATCAATTGCTTCCAATTTTTAAATTCAAATAAATTTGATGATACTATTTTCCTTTTGCATTGTAGGATATTTCGAAAAATTTCAGAGAAATGTTACATCAGATGGCGATGACTGTTTGTTCATACTCTTCTTCAGCATTTCTGATAGTTCTTCTTTGGTAAATGGAATTATAGCTGGCTATAAATTTAATTTTTAAAATGTCATTTCAAATTATACATATTTTGCTTTTGATATTTCCAATCTTTTTAGGAATGGAAGTGTGAAGAAAATTTTAATTTTTTAATTTTTTTTTTGAATAAAAACTTTCCCTACTAATTTGTAAAAGTCAGAGTGAATGGAAATTATAAAAGTGAGCATTCTTTCAATAAAATTTTTCCAAAATGTTATTAAATTACTCTTAATTAAGCATGAAATAGATGTGACCGAAAATTTTAAGACAAATTTAGAAAAATCTCCAGCATAAAATATTAGGTTGAAAATAAATTTTGCCAAAGTAAAATATTGAACCTCATCTTTAATTTTATCGCTATAAGCCAGTCGGATATGTAGAAGAATTCGATCAGCGCCATTAAATGGATGCAAGAAAAGAAGTGCAAGCAGAATTACTTTGATAAAATAATAACCGCTTTCTGGTTCGAAATAAGAATCTAATAAGGTTAATAGACCAAATGCGCTCCTGAAAATGTTATCACCACTTTAGGAAATCATAAATAAAATTTGATCCTTAATCGATCAGAA